AGAAACCACTTATTGCAGTCCTGTAGTTTTTGGGCTTTTTTCTTGGTATATTTGTAGTACTAAATCAACTGGCAGTTAAGTCAGACTGGCTTATTTTCTCTCACATGAATGGGTTTTAATTAAACTTCTACTTAGACAGCAAATCAGGAAACAAATACGTTCTGTTTCAGATTGCAATGCCAAAGTCTTCACATTTTGTGAAGAAATGGCTGTCAAAAATATGAAGAACAACCAAGTGACTGTTTCTTGCTTCAGTGTTAGAGTTTAGGCTAGGCAACAACAAAATCATTCCTGAAGGGTTTTATTTTTCTATTTAAAGCAGTCTTAACATAGAATCAGAAGATATACCTTTGTTTCATTTAGAAGCCTCAATTTCTCCACCCACCCTGAGCAGCTGGTATTATTTATGGACAAGGATATAGACCTGGCTTATACAAACACCATCTGATGGAAATAGGACCACTGGTAGCCAGAGAGGGTGCAAAAAGCAGAGCTGCAATGCTGAACACAATACAGATGTAATTAGGGCATTTCTTGGTTTCTCACTCAGAATACCAGTATTTTTCTGCTCTGCCCTACTGCATCCCTTTTGCCTAAAGGAAGTCAGAAAACTAGAGTGGGTGAAACTATTTGTATCTCAAATATCTCTTTTGGACAGAATAGCTGAGCCAAAACTCATATGGATGCACCACTGAAATGGGCAGTGGACACAGCAACTCCAACAACACTCCAGCCAAGAACCCTTCATTCCTGCTGCTTCTAATCTGTGAATATTTCTTACGCTCCCCAGTGAGCACCAGACTCTAAGCACTGTCACACACATGAAGCAACTGAATCACATCATTGTATCACATCCCTTCCATCTATTCACATAATTTCCAATGATTCCTTTCAAGATCAACTGCAAAATCTACCCCAAAATTATTTCAATATAAAATAAGTTCTTTTATGTTTATTTTTCTCTCAGCTGTCCCACTACCACTTAGCAAGGATAACCCTGGTTCCTCATATAAATTCAGTATTGATTGAGAGAGCCTACTCCTCTGTACCCTTTGCCTCCTACTCCAGTAAATGTCTCTTCCTACTTCTTGTGCGCTTTAGAAATCGCTTTTGGAAATAAAACAAGGGTTGGAAAGAAACTCCCACTAAGTTATTCTTCAGCTCAGACTTCCACTTAGGAAATCTGAACTTCATTTTCTGACATATACAGTAAAAGCTTCAGCCTCAGGTGTCCTATTTTAATTGCCTGCTATTTTCATTACTGACCACGATGGCAGCAAATGCTCTTCAGGAGATACTTGTATTTTAATTTATCTGCAAACATAAATCACACATTATGGCACTTTTTTCCTGTAGGTTAATTGAATCAATTCTCTAAATGTCTTCATGCCTGACCATTGAAGGAGGCTCACTGTTTGAAACCTCTTAAAGAATTATGGCCCTTGGTCTGTGTGCAGGATGGTATCAGTCCTTGCTCCAGACAAAGGTATTTTATACATATAAGGGGAAAAGGTATTGTAATACACACAAGCAATATTATCTGTGAAGCAACACCCACAGTACTGTGATGATCCTGTAAAATACTATTTCAGAATTATCCCAGGGAATTCATTTTAATATTATAAATCTTATATCTAGATTGATTGTTAAATTATTAATAATGTTTTAAGTTCTAAAGAAAAAAATTCTGCTTTTACTTCCATTATTTCTACATTAATTTTTATGTAAAAAATCCCAAACATAAATGTTGATGTCAAGAACAACCATTTTGTTACTAAAAATCCAGAAACACCTAATGAAGAAAACTTGATTTAACTTTTTTTTTTTCTAAAAATTAGTCAAATTGATAGCTTTTAGTAAAATGAGTCAAACAGATCAGTTTTTACATGTTGTATTGGCCATTTTATACCCAGCAGAACTGTTAATTGATGGTAAATTAACAGTCGGTAAATTTACAAAATTTGCAAAACGAAGAAGCCTAAAGGGCAGAATAATCTCTTCAAGCAATAGCCACCTGATACAGTTGGTAAAGTTACCAATTGTTGGTAAAGTTATGGTAAGTTCAGTCCAAAACTGAGACTCAAATTTAAGAATTTAAACAAGTTACAAATAGTTCAATGGGAGTGATAATGTAGAAAATATTTGAAAAGACTCAGTGTTTGACTCGCTTTATAATTGGGTCAGTTTCAAAAAATTAGTATTATAGTTTAAGGCACCAGCTGAAATGTCCCTGTCCCTCACTGGACTGCTGTGCCAGTCACAGAGTGACGCCAGGACAGTGCTGGGAAGAACACGTGCTGATAACTGTGAGGTTGTAGGGAATGTGCTCTTGGTTGTAGATTTTATTCTGATTTTAAATACATTAAAAAACCTTCCTATTTTGAATTTCATTTCAATTTACCAGCTCGAATTTATTATTTGTAAAACACATCAAGCCTTAAATGGTTTGACCTTCTGCTAATGTACATCACCTAATGAATGGATGCAATTAACTAATTCATATTGGAATATTGCACTTTCCAGATCACATTCATCATCTCTAAACGTGTGATCTAGTTTGCAAGTTTAAATTTTTTATTATTACCCTTTAAACTGAAGAAATAAGTCTTATATTTAATTACCTGAACTTACATATTCAATTAATAGCTTCATTACCTCAATGAACATAGGTATCACAAAGTAACAAGAGGTTGCTGCTGGATCTGCTCTTAAGTACCCTTATAAAGGGTCAGCTTTGAACCTCAGAACACTTTTTTTTAATTAAAAAGTCTTGATTGTGGAGTCTCAAAGGAACTGGGCCTGGCAATCTAATATTCTTGTAAGGGATCCTTAGATAAATTTATCATCTATATTGTTATTTTTAATACATAAAAAAAAAAAAAAACCAGAAGCAAAACTCTGGAAAGACAGAGGATTTAAACGTTCAAATGTGAGTAATTCTGAATGAAAGGGAATTAAAAGAGTGGAAACCAGGCAGGCTGGCAGCTCACCTACTAAAGGGCGAGGGATGAGTGGAGCATAGAGGCAAAACAAACCAACACTTGTGGGGCAGAGGGGACAAAGCACCAGGAACAGCAGCTCTTTCAGGATATAATTGTCCAGCAGATTGTGGCTGTATGGCAATCTTGGAGGGTCACTAGAGTGGGAAATGGGTGAAGGCAAGTGGGTTGGGGAGTCAGGAAACACTGTCACTTTCCCCATGGAAAGTAGGTTTCAGAGCCATGAATCCACTGTCCTAGTTAACTCCATCTATTTGCCAAATATGCAACTTTGCTTTCGTGTGTCAGTAGAGTCAAGTCTGTCATTACCGTTGGCTTTCATGCTACATTTCTTTTATCAGTTAGGTAGGCTCAGATCTCCTGCTCTTCACAATCCCACAGGTAGCCTTAATAAGTCTCAGGGTGTCTATTGCTATCGGGAATCTGTGCCCTGTAGAAAAATGAAAGGTTTTGATAATGTATCCCATTCAGGGTTAGGAAAACACAGTGTTTAGATCCCTGCAAAGCCCACTGGATATACTTTGAGGTTTTCTTCATGCTGCGTACATATATTTGCCAAGATATCTTTTGTTTTTAATAGCAAAGCTATTTGAGAAAAGGGAATATGCAGAAAAAAAGAGCAGGGAATTGGCTGCAGCAAAGCATTTGTCTGTACTAAATTGTTCTATACCTTAAAAGCAAAATTCGGAAACTCTCAGGGCCTATTTTATACACAGACATGTCTGTACAGCAAATTTTGAAATTTACTATCATCAGTTATATAGCTATATATAATATAGTTATGTGTAGTGACATCAGTTATGCACTGAGGCCTAATTGAGGCCTAATGGAGTGCCCAGCCAGACAAGAACACAGCAAAGTCTTGGAATTGTGCTTTAGAGAAAGCCCAATCTAATTCTCCCTGAAATCACAGAATCACAGAATATGCCGAGTTGGAAGGGACTCACAAGGATCATCAAGTCCAACTCCTGTCCCTGCACAGGACCATCCCCAAGAGTCACACCGTGTGCCTGAGAGTATTGCCCAAACACTCCTTGGACTCTGGCAGCCTTGGTGTTGTGCCCGCTGCCCTGGGGAGCCTGTTCAGTGCCAACCACCCTCTGGGGGAAGAACCTTTTTCTAATATCCAACCTAAACCTGCCCTGACACAACTTCATGTCATTCTCTCAGGTCCTCTGACTGGTCACCAAAGAGAAGAGAGCAGTGCCTGCCTCTCCTCTCCCTCTCCAGGCTGAACAGACTCAGTTCCCTCAGCCACTCCTCACACGGCTTCCTCTCGAGGCCCTTCACCATCTTCGTGGCCCTCCTTTGGATGCTCTGTAATGGCTTTATATCTTTCCTATATTGTGCTGCCCAAAACTACCCCAGTATTCCAGATGAGGCTGCCCCAGAGCAGAGCAGAGTGGGACAATCCCCTCCCTTGACCAGCTGGGGTTGCCCCATCCCAGGTGCAGAATCTGGCGCTTCCCCTTGTTGAATTTCCTGTGGTTGGTGATTGCTCAGCCCTCTAATTTGCTGAGGTCTCTCTGCAGGGCCTCCCTTCTTTCCAGGGACTCAACAGCTTCTTCTTGCTTTGGGTCACCTGCAAACTTGCTCAGTGTCCCTTCCAGTCCTGCACCTAAGTAATTTATAAAGATGTTTTAGACCACAGGGATCAAGATCCTGTGGAACCCCACGAGTGACAGGTCACTAGTCTGATGTGACCCCAGTCACTGTCACCCTCTGTGCTTGACCCCTGAGCCAATTGCTCATCCACCACCTGATGTGTTTATCCAGCTGTGGGCTGGACATTTTGTCCAGGATCCTGTGAGAGACAGTATCAAAAGCCTTACTGAAATACAGAAAGATTACATCAACGGCCTTCCCTTGATCAGCTAAGGTGGGTTACCTTGTCAAAGAAGGAAATCAGGTTTGATAAGCAGGACTTTCCTCTCCTGAAGCCATGCTGCCTGTGACCCATGACTTCATTGTCTTTCAGGTGTTTTTCAATACATTCTCCATATCTTCTCCATAACTTTACCAGGCACTGAAATGAGATTGATAGGCCTGTAGTTTCAGACGTCCTCCTCCTTGCCCTTCTTGAAAATAGGGACAACATTTACCAGCTCCCAGTCAGTTGCCAGCAACAGCAGACTTCAATAAGCTTTCAATCAGGCCTTAAAGATTACCAGCAAAAAGCTTAAAAAACACATACATGGTGTGGGTTTGATCTCATATTCATGATCCCGACTGAAATGTTTTGTCTGGACACTGAGATCACAGAAACAGAGAAGAAAGAACAAATTCTCAAAGGGTCCCCTCATATGCCTGCCCCTCCTCCAAGGTGGGCTTAGCTGAACCAGAGCTGCACACTGCAAATATTTCCCTTGTTCAGCACTTTTTCAGCAGAGACTACAGCAGAGACAGAGGGGTGATCAGAAAACACAAGAACTACAGAAATAGGGAGGTTGTGTATGCAAAAAGGCTTAGAATACTGAATTACAGTGTCTTCATATCTTCCTCACCTGGATTTTTTTTTCCTTGAGTTCCCCAGCAGCAGAATCAATCCATAAAACAGAGAACATCCTTCAAGGGCCATGCAGCAGTTTCTATACGAAAATTGAAATTAATAAATTAGGTAGAGGCATTTGACCAGGGACATGAATTATATTAGAGGTACACATTCAGGGTTTGTCTAATTCAACTGAAATCAGCAGACTTTAAAGTAATTTGGCCCATATTATTAAAATACAAAAAATATATGGTGTATTTATAGCCTTGGTCTCTCCAGCTGTGTTGGTTTAGGTTTTATTACATCAGTAATAACAATTTATGTGATACTCTGAATAATGTGCTATTAAAAATTCAGTACAGTATATACTGTTACCCAGGGGATTTAAACTGTGGGAGCTATGTGTATTATTCTCTACTTTGCTATTTCTATAGGAGTGAAGATTACTATAAAAATGGTTAGCTTATATACACCATGTGAATTCCTGCTCTGCTTGAATCCAGGTGAAGAGAAGAAATAGTTCAGTCCAGACTGCTTGGGAGTAAGGGTCCCAAGAGCCTTGCTCTTGCAATCTAAGGTTACACTGATCACACATTCAAGAATGAACAATAATATCAATGTGGTTTTTGAAGACTTTAAAGAATGTCAATAGATTTGTGAGGCACAACCTCCCTTAACAGAATCCATTTGATGCTCCTCCAGAGTATCAGCTATATCTATGTGTCTATTGATTTTATTTTTTACAGCAGTTCATCTAAATTTCCTGGCACAGAAGTCATACTGACAGTTTTGTAGTTCCCATGATCACCTTTGGAGGACTCTCCTGAAAGATCTGTGGATCTTTGGTACATTTCCTATGTTCTGTTCTGCTGGCATGAGGATCAGGTTGAGCAAAAAACAACCCACTGGAGCTAGCACTTGAGAAGCTGAACATTTTAATCCCTTGGTGGAAATACTGTGCAGATCCAGCAATTAGTTACTCTTTAACTTAAAATTTCTCTTGAGGTGTTTCCTACTGGCAATTTATTTTAGGACAGTTCACACTCAGCCCACCACCTTTGGTTCTTTAGCAAGGCAAATAATTCTTTGAGCTGTGGAGTTTGTAACCCTGAATGCTGCTTCTACCTTTCACCCTCTATAGCTTTACTTACTCTCTTGCAGGGTTCCTCTGGTAATGGAATTTGAAAACATTTATACTGTAACTTCTACATTCTTGGAAAAACACTAAAATCTTTTTGGTGAACTCTGTTGTGGTTCTACATTTAATATGTATGCTCCTACCTTATCTATAGCTTCCATTTTTGGAGGAGGTCCGCAGTTTTTCCCTTCAGATACCACAGTTGTCAATATTTATGGGTGGCACTTCCAGGATCCTTGTCACTATAACCCTGGGAGCAGCAGGAAAATCCCAGAGTATTTTCTTTCCATTGTCCAACCAGGTTGTCCACTGCATGTGACTAAAAGGCAGTAAAACAGAGGGTTAATTAAATGCGTTAGTAATTAAGGTCAAAGCTTTCCTGGTGTTTATCTTTACATTTTACTTGTCTTTCTTGTAATGTTACATACACATTTGTTAGATTTGGGAAATGTCTTTAGAATCTCTTTCTCAGTACAATACAAGGAGAAACTTAGTTCAAGTGTTCTTTGCTGCCCCCTTTTCTCTTTGAAAAGTGTGGCAGTGACTTTAAATTGGCAACTGTCAAAAGATGGAAGGATTTCCCGAGGGAATCATCATCCCCTGTGTACTCTGTTCTTCAATACTTTCTCAGAGCATCTGCTTGAATCTCGTTATGGAGCTGAGGAGGACCCTTGGTCTAACTTAGCGCCACAGTTCCTAATAATGGGGTAAAATAGTATAATTTCTATAAAGTACTGAGGACAATCTGAAAAAAAAAGCAAATGCAAAATAACAGTATTTGTTCCAGTTCTCCACCCTGTAAAGGGAGAAAATTTCTATAAGGAAGGCAACACAATGTGGACAAATAAGTAGGAATTTCTGTATCTGACACATTATTGCCCTACAATTAGTTGAAAAAGAGCATTAATTTCTTAACCCCTGTTATGAGACTAAACTCAGAGGTATCCACATACTACTTTGTGAGTGAGACTTGCATCTGCATAAGAGAAAGAACTGCTACAGACAAGTAACTAAAAATTGTTTTCATAACGTATTTATTTATTTATCATTTTCCTGGAAGAGAGGAAGTGGTTTATCTTATTCCTGCTGTAATGAATGGCCTTCCTAGCATCCTCAGCTCTACTGTATACATAATTCTGACTTCTCTTAGAGACATAACAAACATATACTTTAGCATGCTGTGATAATTAAGGTCCCGAATAATGTCTTTTCTCAGTGGTGTAGGGTAAAGGTTTTCCAGCTGCCATACACAGGCTATTTTCAGGGCCTTCTCAGAGGCAGCTCCCAGCTGACTGTGCCACAGACAGGTCCTGTAGAGCAGGACCTGCAGCTCAGCTGGCTCAGGCAGCATCAGCACAAATGGAGTCACCTCATGATTCACCAGCTCCGTGGTGCTCCACAGGCCAGTGTTTGCCGAAACAGCTAAAAGGCAAAGTGGTGTTTGGATGCACAGGTAGAGAAAGGTGAGTAAAAGGACGCAGAAAATCAGTTAAGGATTAAAACTGAGTCTTGGGGGTGAACTGAGTGGTTAAGGGTTGAAACTGGTGGTTGTAAGGTGACTGCTGGTAAGGGAACGTGCATCAGGTCCTAGCTGGAGGAAGGGAAGAGCACTGGGGGGGATAACAGAAGTGGCTCATTTGCCCAAATTGTAAAGCTCTGCCCTGTTTAGGACAGATACAAACCAAGGCACTGAACATGTACAACACATGCCAAAATAATCCAGAGAACTGGGCTAAGGTTTTGGTGTCAAGTCAAATGACAGAAAATACTTGTAAATCAACCAGACAGCCTCAAGTCAGTACTACATCTGATAAAACCGTTCAAGATGCTTAAGAGATAAAAGTGGAATATTTTTCTCTAGCAGCCTCAATTCTTTGAGGTATTCAGCAACTTCATGTCTTAAGAACATGGAAAGTATTATTATTATGATTCATATTGTAGTATCTATGCAATTTTAAGCTAAGAAAATTGGAGATATATAGTCCCTCACTTGCCTTTACTGCATTATAGGGAGCCACTGGACCGAAGCAAATTTCATTAAATGTTCCTAATTTATTCTGCCTCGTTGCTCTTATGTAAACAGGGGAGTTCACTAGAGAGCAAGACATTTAGTCCAAAAAGAGTATTGTGAGTGAATATGCAAATACAACACACTACACCAAGGTAAGATTCCTCATTAGCCACTGAAATCTCTCAGAGGTGACAAGATAGGAGCTTTTGTGTACAGGGTACAGCACAGCATTCTCCCAAGCATTCACTCTCTTTTACAACCTCCCCTTGAAACCTTGGACAGCCAATAGTAGCATAGTTTAAGTCCCAATCTAGGTCAGAGAGAAATTTGCAACTCTATTTTGGTTCCTTACTTGTGGTTTATCTTTTTGCCTTTCTTTTTGATCAGGATGATAAAAATAACATTTTATTCATTTTTTTCCAGGATTTAAAAAAAAGTAACATAGCAGGAGAGGTAATGATTAATCCATTCTGTAAGAAAAGAGTTCTGATTGTGAACTCACGGGTATTATCTAATGAGTATAAATAGAAGTGTACTCAGAGGAGACACAGAATGGCAAAGCCATGATGAAGTGTCAGGGCATGTTGAGTTGGTTCTGTCAATGCCTGCAGTCAGATGATTTCACTGGCTGTGCAAGATGAAATCTCATATTTCAATGTTTAAGTAAAAGTGTCAAAGTTCAGCTGGAGCAGGGACGAATACAGAGCAAATTTTGTGTGTGTTTGTAACTAGGGCACCAGAACAACAGAGGAAGCCAAAATGAGCCGGAAAAGCAAAAGGAGTTTAAAGGAGAAATTTTCCTTGAAGAACAGCTTGGTTAAAGAAGCCCTCTCAGAGTTCCTGGGAACTTTTATATTGATAGTAAGTGTCAGCTGCTTTCCTTTCTTCCTACTAATCTAATGTTGGACAGTGCTTGTGAGGGGACATGTTCTCTTTTACCCTGTGCTGTACCAGCAGCCTTGTGGCTCCTGACAATTCACAGCCCCGAATGAATCGCTCCTGTTGCTGGTAAGTTTTTAATTCCTTTCTTCACCTGGTGTAATTATCATTGGCTATAAAAACCAGATAGTTTTATGTATTACAACTGTCTGATCAGCATTAGATTTCAGAGAGCTGCAGAATTTCAGTGAATTAGCACATTCTGAAAAAGCCAGATTGGATGTTGTTGATACTCTTCTGTTTGTTAAAAACTCAGCAGTTTATTCTACTTTTGCTCCTATTCCGTAATTCTAGGTGCTTTAACAAACATACTGTGTTGCACATTAGGAAACTTTTAGCTGAGCTGTTTTGCTGTGCAATGTAGAAATTTAGCCATGTGATTGATAGTGAATTTATTGGGAGTTGCATTGCCAAACCTTTGGAGATTTTTTAAGTTATCTATCTTTTGTTTTGTTTTTGACTGTACTACATAAATTATACTGTTGCTTGGTCCTGTAGCACTGCAACAATTTAGGTAAATACCAAAACTCCCTATTTTCATAATCCCATATTTTTTTTTTTACTTCATGTCTTTCTCAATTTTTCTGTGCATTTTGGACTGGGACATAGAGCTGTGATTCACCAGGGTAGAGAGCAGGCTCAGTAGCAGAGCTACAAGTCAAGCAGCGAGAGTATTTATGCCAAACTCTTTCTTTCTCCTTTTAGTCTGAACAAAGCAGTCTTGCTTATTGCTAAATACTTCATCACAGTGAAAAGGACAAAAAAATAAGAAGCAGACATAATACAGACATAGTATGTTTTATAAATATAACTGTATTAGCTAAATTTCAAGTAAGTCGTCTAAAAAATTCCAGTAGCTCATAAAATAATGTTTTTTACTACGCTTCATCCAACTGAAATGTGCAGGCACTAAAATAATATTATTCTCAAATTTAATACCATCCATAAGACATTATTACAGTAAGGAGCACATTTAGAAGCAAGGAGCACAGGGCACTTTACAAACATT